TCATTAGACTGCGGCGCTGGCAGACAGCCTCCCACAACAGCGGCACTGCGGTTTGGTGTTCATTAAAGGTTAGATGTTGTAAATCAGCCCGGAGGCCGTCGACGTGACGGCCTCGGCGGACCTCCGCTGACCCGACGGTATGCGCCAAAGGGGCTTTGGAGTGGTGTCTCCCCCACCCCCCAAAAAGGGATGAAATGGCTTCTGTACATTAAAATGAGACTTCATTTCCAGAGCCACAAGTTGATGACTTCCTGGTCAGGGGTTAATGCGAGGGTCGGCCTTCTGCCCATGGACTAATGGATTAACGATTCTTTATTTGGTCAGGGGGAAGAAAATGAGGCAAGTCCCAATGCGCATTTCAGTCATCGGAGTTCTCTTAACCTGGCTGCCTGCCGAAATGGAAAATGATTGCGTGTATCTACAGAAACTCATTTCAATTACAAATGGAGCTGATTTTGTTTTTTTTGTTTTTTAACTGCCCCTCCTCACCATGCACAGCGAAGACAATAGATGGGGGGAGTCTTGCAGTGCTTTTCGGCACATCAAAGGAAATGCAGAGCGGCTCTCCTGTACACGGAGCCCTTTCTTTCCAATTCTCTCCAAATAGCTTCATGTTTGCAGAAACGTCCCGTTATCTGTCGCCACTCTTCGAAATGTACTCCGAGCGCCGTAAGGGCGCGCGTCGCTCTATCGTGCATTTGAGTGTCCAAGTAGGAAGGCCGGGCGAAGACGTGCGCGAGGACGACTTCAATGAATTCGACCGGGGTGGAATTTCTTACGCGCCGCGAAGCCCCCGTACACAATGAGGGCCATCGCTGCAGCTGGAAATGATTATTCAAAGGCAAATGCGTTGGTGAACGCAAAACTCCAAAACGATGTTCTTTGATACTCCTCCTTCCCCTTCCCCATCAGCCATTTGAGCGAGCGGAGAGCTAAAAGCGTAGCCTCCGCATCGGCGCTAATTGCCACGCCGCGAAAAAGGTGGCCGCTAATGAGGTGCTCCTAACGAGGAGTCTCCGGTGCGACGTGCAATTCTCCTGACGCGCTGTGAGAAAAAGAGTCAAAACGAGTGGAAACGACGGACGGCGCTGGATTCTTTCCCATCAATAACGCTTAAAAAGGTGCAATTTGGGTCATTAAAAAGAAGACGGTGCCTCTTTTAGCAACACTGTTGATTAGAAGTGGATAAGTAGGGAGTCGCAGTTGGCTAAAGGGGGGAGTGGCTCCGCTTCAAAGTCTCGCAATGTACCCTCCGTCCCTCCGTCCGTCCATTCATTGGTTTCATCAACTGCTTGCAGTGATGAAGATCGTTCGCGAGCTGGAACGTATGCTAGCTTACTTTGGGAGAAGGCAAATATTGACAAACAACCATGAGCCACTCCCAGTCTCAGCTACGGGCATTAGCAAGGCTTAAAAAAAAAAAAGAAGAAATATCCTGCAGTGCACAACAACATCATAGTGGCACTGCACGAGGGCCGAGTACGTTCCGCCCCGTTGGCGGCCTTGCATCATGCCACACTTTCAAAGCACAAATAAGCACATTCCTTATTCCATGTTTTTCTTTGCTCAAGTCTCGGGGCTTCCTCGAGTTTGGCTTTTGGTGGCCGGAAAAGCGACTCGTTGTAAACTAAACCCGATTATGCCCGATCCCGGGACACCTTTGACACATTTCCGTTGCGGGGAAGGTGACGCATTTGTGCATTTTGCACGCGTGGCCATAAACAACAGCTTCCAATAGACTGTCATTCCCCTTGGAATCGTATTGAGGTATAATCCAACAAGGAGGGGGGAAGAAAAAACAACAACAACAACAAACTTTTGCTTAGGCAAGCAGCTTGCAGGCATGGACCAAGCAAGAGTGTGTGAAAAATGGGTCAGATGAGTTGCAGTTTTGGTATGGCTGCTCACTTCTTCCCACTTTCCTTCTCTTTTCATCCAGCGCATGAAAAGCCCGCCGAAGCATTTTTGCCCCCTTGCTGTGTGCTGCCTCGCTGGCGCGGCTGAGCTCCGTCGAGAGGAGGCGGGCAGCTTTGATTGTATTGGCTCACGCGCGCAAGGAAGGCGCTTCACAATAGGCTGCTTTCAAAAGGCATCACCTCCGCGATCTGAATTTAGTCAACCATCACCTGGTGTAACTTTGATGCCCAAAAGCATTCTTTTAGGATTATGTCACGGTTAACCCCCCCCCTCAGGCAAACTGTATAGCGTTCATTTTGCATGCACGCATAGTACAGTGGAACCTCGTTTCGTTGGCATTGTTCCCACTCTAACATTCCCATTTGCCGATTTTGCTTACGACGAACACCTTTCAAAGGTCAACTTGATGATAACCAGCAGATTCCCCCCCCCACAAAACGAACCCGCGGGAAGCTAACTGCCGCCGCGACCTTGCTTATGAACAAAAACCTACGGCGCGGGACACCCCCGATTGTATATCAAATGATCAACTAGAGATACTTTAAATATGCAGCAATAGCCTGCAAATGGAATCAACGGGTTCAGAGTAAAGGCCTCATCTGGCAAATTGACCATTTATTGATTTCATTCCCTCGTCTGCCAAGCGCACTCTCCGGTCAGGGAAGCGGAAGCAGCACTCCCGTTCACATTTTTGCCCCTCATCCAACCGACAGGCGACCTTTAAAAGGCAAACAAAGCGACAGCAAATTCTCCTTTTCAGCGGGAGCCCGCAAATCCAACCTTCGGGAAGCACGCCGGTACGACACGCTTGCTTTGCACACTTTGGCGCCCGCTCTGCCTTCGACCTGACGTATTTTGTAATTACACAGCGCAATCCAACAGAGAGCGAGCGCCCCGACGGCGCGTCATGAGGAAAAGCGACACAATCAATAAGGCCCCACGCGTTTATGTATGTTTGATGGGATCAATCGATCGGGCTGTTGAGTTTCTATCGCAACCTCGGGGTTTAGTTCCACGCTCGACATTTGTATTTATTCGCGCCGAGTACAGCAGACGACACACGCGTGAAGGTCGGGCGTTCAAAAAGAACGACAAAGGTCCCGTCGGTCAGTCGATTGAAGCCAAACGGAACCATGAAGCCGACGCAATCATCTGAACAAACTCAAAGGCGGCACCGTTGGAGCGGTCTTCGGGGTGTGGCAAAATCCGTCCAAACAATGAGTCACAAAAGGAAGAAAACTAAGGGGGCCCCCCATTTAGACGGGTTCACGGCTTTGTTGTCCAATCGGCGCGACTCAAACGCGAAGCGGTCCGACAACGAAGGGAGAGTTTTTGAACAGCGGGCCATGTCAGCTGTGCGAAGCATGCCAGAATTCTTCAACAAGATTATTCAAGATTTAAAAGGCGTGTCAAACTCATTTTTGTCCCGGGCCACATTTTAATGCTCGTTTCCTTTGGCTGAAACCATATCAAGAAGTCAAGAAGCACCGTTTCTGCACCCATTGTTGAAGTTACTGTAATGAGGGCTTTGGTCACAAGAAAATGCTTCCAGTATCACTCTTATGGATTACCAATGAGAAGTTTGATCGAGAGTTTGGTAAGCATCATGAAAGTTGACGTCTTTGATTTGCTTTCACGGGCCGCATCAAATGATGTGATGTGGCGCGCCAGATCTGGCCCCCGGGCCTTGAGTTTGACACCTGTGCTCTAAAACGTCCCTGAGGTCAACCGATTTTTTTTTTACCCTAAATGTTTCTTCAGGTGATCTTTGACGCTTGCGTCTCAAAACCGAACTGAAATACAGAGCACAAATCGAGTGAAGCGGCGGCAGCGGCAGCAAAAAAAGGAAGAAAGCAGGAAAGTGGGTCCAACTGACGCTCCGAGAGGCTCCAATTGGGTCTTGCTTTCATGTGGGTCAAAGCAAACAGTGATTAGAAAGGATGCAAACACAAAGGCCACCGAGCGAGCGACCGAGAGCGCTTGGGCGATAAGCGGCATTGTTGAACAAAAAAGAACGACATTTCCGGGACGCTGCGGCGTTTCATCCCAAGTGGGCCGCTGAAGTGCAACTTTAAGATGACGACGGTGCTTATATTTCCGTCGATCGAGAAGACTTTGCGGATGAAAAGGCGACAGCGCAACACGATGTGTTCCGATCTGAACCCACGTGCGAGGTCAGGTCACGTTCGACAAGGCTGAGCGTTTCGTATGAAAGCCAAGACAGATTTCACTCAATCTACCGCGTCAAAGTAACACTTCTAAAGGTCGGGCCGAGTCAATTGAGGTCGCGCTCGCAACCCTGCCGGGGGCTAACGACGCCAATTTCCTCCTTTTTGCCTCGTGGAAAAGTGAGAGTGGGCGAGGGCATGTGTGAGAAAAACAACGGCGACGGAGCAATTTACAATCCAGCCGCTGCTTGGGGTTGCTTTTGAAACAGGGATTGAGTTTCCGCTTCCAGATTTGCATCGTCGGCCATCTAATTGTATCCAAATGAGCCGCGAAAAGAAATGAGTCACCGACTCCTCCC